TGAATTATTGAGTATTTTTACTTGATCTTTACTACAGAGACTCAGATCATGACAAATGACGCTCTCTTATCATTCCAGAACATGGTAGCTCAGAAATTCGGCCGTTCTGTTGTTACTAGTGTTCCTGAGGTGCTCAAAGGTAGCCGCCACATTGGATAGATGGAGCATTTATATTTCAATAATTCATCTGACATTCTTATTATTCACCCTGTTATACAGATCTAACAGTCCGTTTCAATTACTGACTGCTGGCAAGACAAGATAAAGGTCAAATGCATCTGTGGCATGGGAACTTTGGTGCTGTTTTTCCCCCATGTTCATGTTCCGGCAGCTTCGTTGTTTCCATCACTTTCTTGTACCATTGACACCTCACGATTTTCCCCCAGAACTACAGAACCGAGCTGGATTTTGGCTCACAGTGCTTGTTCCAAACCGTGACCTTCCGGAAGGATATGATATCAGAAATGTCATTTGGCACCATCAACGCCAAACCTACTGAAGCAATCATACTGGAATATGACCAGCTTATCGTCCGGTTTCTCCGTGAAAAAACTGGATAAATGTGTAAAGAGCCTTGGAGGTACTGTCCTCAGATGGTCGTCGATGCTGGATGATGAACCGTTACCGCTCAACGCATCAACCATCGTCGCCATTCACCTATTACGCTGGATGGCGGTTGGGAAATTGAACCCAGGGCCTGCGCCTGGGTAAAGATGGCCTGGAGATGCACATACTTCCTCGAGAAGTGGAGTAAACTGGTTTAACCCCATAAGTCGAGAGACACACGTTGTTTCTTGATGTATGGCAAGCGTAATATCATCGATCCTACTCTTTTTCGCATTTATTCTGCCCATTATTAGGTTTATCAACAAGAACTTGATCAACGGTATCTCAAAGGAGCCGGACTGTCCTTTGAACGATGAAGTGGGTCCTGTTGCCAGATTGGTACTCTGAAGAGGACATTGACAGAAAGAATGTTCGCGTGATTGCCGATATCCAATATCGTCAATCTCGGCACGGCTCGCAACGTCCAGAGCTGGATCCATTTGTACATGCGGAAAACTTGATCTATTGTCTGGGATCCGGCAGGTAAATCAAGAATTGATTTGACTGAAATTAGTTCTCTAATTTTTTCTGTTAATTATCAAGCGGGTAACGTCTTTGCACAATGCAACACGACATGACAGTCGAATCCCTAGCGGGTTCCCTTCTTAGGGCCGGTGGTATATTCGATGGCGTTGATGATCTTGTTTCCTTCCTATCGATTAGGCCATCAGCTATCGTTCCAGAAGTGCCATAAGAACTGAAACCTACATCATCAGTTTCCATTCCTGAACACTGCCGGATGCGCAATCCGTCTTAGTGATCGTCCTCGTAGGACTCTGTGTTCAAAGTGTGCATGTCGCACTTGTGTCCGCAGGCGGTGTTGTAGCAGCGCGAGCGCGTCGAAGACAAGAGAAGCCATCTGGCGACAATGATAGGAGTTATTTGCAAAGTTGTGATGTAGCTACTTGTTGGAGTCTGCGGGAGAATTTGAGCAATCTGGCATTCTGGCATGCTGAGTAAGGATAGAATCTGAGGGAAATTGAAGGAATTAGGTAGAAATTACTAGAAAAGGTGTAGCCTAGTATAAATATGACCATAAGTACAAGGCCATGCTGAAACAAGTCCTCTGATTGAAGACACATGTATGCTGCACTTGAACAAAAGATAGTGTCTGTAATTTCACATCGAAACCAGTAAAGGACACTGGAGAAGACCAGAGTGTATCATTGAGAATGGTCTGGTCTTGACCGTCAGTTGACAGGTAGAACTATTAGAACGAGTGCGCACACTTGCTGCGAAACCACATTGTTATCACCCAGGGACCTAAACACGTTCTTTTGCGATGCCTGCCCTCCAGTTTGTCGATCAGTTTTGCGTGTGACGTTCACATCTCCTGAAGTACTCCAGGGTTCTGCCGTAGCATATCCGAGCTGATGGAGAGGGCAGGGTAGCCAGATGAAGGTGAGAAAACGGAAAAGGGACTCACAGAACGTTCTATATCTTCCGGGCTTCACATCCAAAGATGCATACATTCATCTTTTACCCACCCTTGCCTCGAGACCCAATTTTTTCTGATCAAGGACGGGACCTCATATACAGAGCGGAACGGGACCAGATGTACGACGCACTGTTATCTTGCGCAATCCTCCAGGATGCGACGCTGAAGTCGACGTCAGCAGGTGATTGTCATTTTTGAGTGTTCACAACGTCCAGCGTCTCCGAGGGGTGCGGGCTGAAGGAAAGAACCCTAAGTGTACAATCCGTCATTCGCGGTTTTAGGCTTCTCGTAACTGTGAGCTCTACTGAGAAGTTATTCGTGAGCCGGGGAAGAATACCGGAAGGCGTCAAGGAACATGCGACTGCGGGAAAAATGTCAGATTACAGGTTATGAGGGCATTTGAAGCACCATATTTACTTAGAACAACTGCTATCTCTCCCTACTAGTCCATGGAATTCGAACGTTGCCAGCACTTTTACGCCGTAAGAGCTGAGAAGCAGGAAGGGGGTGGCAATATCTTTACCCCAGAAGTATCTGTGACAGAGCCACAATTGGTGGGCAGTGTGCTATTTTTGGTGCTGATCATCGCAAGTGCCACACTCACCAGACTCATTGTCGGGAATGGTAACCATTGTGCTATGCATTACTCAGCTGATTTTCTTTTCTTTGCTTGAAGATTCTAGTATGTGCTCTCCAAAGTAGTATAAAAGCTGTATGTAGAGTGGGACACCTTTGTGTGTTTCCCTGTCACTTGGTAATCTACCCCCTTTTCCAACACAGGGTTTGTTCCTTATGTTCAAAAAAGGGTAGAAGTTAACCATAACTAGTTACAAATGCATGTTTGAAAGTTTTGCACAGAATAAAACTTGCTTCCATTACTATTACATGAAAAAGGAAATACCTTCCAACTTTTGGGGTGGTTTTTGCACATCCAAAACATTTCATGCGGGAAATGGTCCACTTGTTCAACGACTGATGCTCACTGCAGTACTACTGGAAAAACATGTTCCACACTTTTAGTGCATACTTTAGGAGGGCACCAATCACCATTTTCGAACAGACTCAGTGGATGAACGGATATCTTGGCCAGAGCCCGGAGACACCCATAGCAACAGCACGGCGACAGTGAAGTATGCTCATTTCGAGAAAAACTTTTCGGGTCTGAGAATCATATTCAAAAGAGAGCCAACCGCGAATTCTGTTCCTCCCAGATTAGAGTTAGAGTTTGCACCATGTCGTAGAATCAGATTGGTAGATACGTAGCTCCCGTGATACCACAAGGTTGAACCTATGCTCAGATTAACGGGGGACATGTATGCAGAGATACGGTCTAAATGTAACGCCAAAAAGCCGTGGTGTCGTGGCAAAGCAGGGTGAATTCAAATAGATATATATTAGGACTGCGAAAACACTGAGGACGGACGCCCTTTAGCTGCAACCTTCGATGGAATCCCATCTTCCAACTCGCCACCAATCCCGTAGTTCGATGATATTCGAATTCACCCTCGCCGTCTTGCAATCTGTTGGAGCAGGAACAAAAGAATACACCATCGTGTATGGCGTATTATTTTATCTTCTCGTCGTCTGGCCGTTGGTGTCACCCCGCATGATCGTATCACGTCTCAAGGACACTGTCGATGACATCCACACGCTCTTTGATGAGCACCGCGAAGTCTTGATTACAGAAGAGTTGAAACTGGCAGAGTAAGCATGGCTCCTTCCTAATGATGATGTCCTTCCTCACTGAACTTCAGATTGCGAGCTGACGTATTGACAGTTGCCAGAGAAAATCTTGAAGCATGGCAACGCGTTTCCGTTGCCAGCCCACGCTCTTTATTGACGTACGCATCCGAAACGAAGGATACTTGGAAAAAGGCGCGCCACTATCACAAGAACGCCGATGAGTTGAAGACAAGGCTGCAGGTATGTCCTCGAGCAATGACATGCGCCGTGGTTACCTTTCACGGTTTAAAGATCATATTGCTCATGCACGCAGAAGAACACCAGCGACTCTTTGCCGAACGTCAAAGAACTTTTCGACACGAGCACGAAGGGTAATTGTTCTACTAGTATCCTGTTATGTGATGGTGAGCGAGCAGGTGGATTTGTGGCCTAGATGTATACTGACGATTATTCCAACTGCGAACAGGTAAAACACACTGTAACATTTTTCTCAAACACTTTTGAGTGTTCTTGCTGTCACAGACATATCTGAGTGGTATCTTATCTTACTATCTCGCTTTCTTATTACACAGATACGTGAATTAGCCAAAAATTTCATCATATAAAATGGACATCGTACCTGAATAATGTTATTCCGCTCTAAGCAGTGATATACCGATTCGGCCAGACATCGCATGATCCATTCATCGTTCTCAAAGACAAGGACAGGAGAAAGAGTTCGCTCGTCTTTTGCGCCCCATCCACATTCCCATCAGATGAATCCTATTCGTGGACAGAGACAGGAAAATCAATAGGACATAATAATACCACTTGGCCCATCACCCTCGAAGAGATAAGGTCAAGACTGACCGTTGCGTGCTACAGCCCATCTCTCTTCAGGCGCTGGCATTGGCGTCCGCGACTCCATGGCATCACAGGGATCCACAAAGTAGCTTAAAGCAGGAAATGCTCGGCCTCTTATAGTCCCAGAAGAGAGGAGATGGATGGTCGTCGTTCATATAATGGTCCTTAATTACATTTCAACATATCCTAGAACTCACAGGCTACTGCCCCGCTGATCGACATATTGAATAGGATAAAACGTCCCGAGATATGCAGGGTCCTGCAGGTAGAGTGGAATCCAGAATGCGGACATTCCGCTGTCGCTCCGACCAAAAAGCTGACTGAAAGACGGGTCGATACCTCAACCAGGTAGATCAATAGTGATCAACCAGAGACCATGAACGCCACGACGCCTGCCGTAGCACGATATCGTCATGAACGAAAGACAACGTACCATCAGGTTCATTGGAAGGAACAGAAGTTCTGTGGCACTGGATGGGGATCGCGCCTGCGGTGTTTTGCCTTGGAGTCTACACATCCGGACATAAAACGCTCGCCATCATCATCAATCTCATGCTTTCCTTCGTCCGCCAGCTTCGCGTACTTTCGCATCTCTGATGTATAAAGCGAACCTCTGTGGTACATTCAAGGCTCGACAAGCCAACGCAGGCTATTTTAGCGATAAAGAGGCATATGAAGACTAGAATCGATTGATATGAAAATGCACAAGAAAAAAGAAAAAAGAAGCCGTTGCCAAGTGGTATTGTCCGGAATTCTGGAACTGCAAACTACTACCACTTCGGTGATTGTCATCTGTCGGCCTCATCTTCGTGAAGGTTTGAAGAAGAGAAATAGACATATCACTTACAGAACATGAAGAATGTGCCCCTGTACTCTGTCGCCTTCTGAATTGATGACATCTAAAAGCAAAGGGCCTCAGGAATTGCGTCTGTTCCTGTCTTCCTCGCAGTAAGAAATGGAGCTACGGGATGGCCAAATATACGATACTGTGAAACTTAGATCAATGAAGGTGAGAAAATGGAGAAAGGACTTACAGAACGCTGATTCATTTACTCTCCCTCGCTGACTACTGCATCTAAACGGCCATATAACCACCCTATGCCGGCCATGAAGGTAAGCATTTACACCACACCCCTGCTAGGAAATGAATGAACATGACGAACACGAGAAGACAAAGAATTACTCACAGCGAAGTTCATACGGCCAGCGACATCGCTCGTCAGTTTGTACCAGTACAACATTTATACCATCACCATGGCATCCAGGTACGCATATAGCCACCCGCAAAGAAATTCTCCCTCCCAAATCACTGCTTCATCCAGAATTTGGGAAAACACGCCTCGTCATATTGAGTGATTATCCATTTTGTGTACACTACTGTTTTCCATCCCTTGGCACGTCATATCTAGGCTGCGCGTAGGCACCACAGGACAAGATGGACAGGAATATGACGATGTAGCGCTGGAACTGGCTCCGGTTGGACGTTCAAAGGAGAGTAAATTCAGAGAAAGTAAACGGCCGCTCATGGTCTGGACATCCAGGCATTGTTAGTCCTGTGGCGAGCTACAAGACTCCAATACGCAAGGCAAAGGATACGCATTGGAGGAATGGAACCAGATGCTCTGGCTGGAATACCGATGAGCGAGATGGATGGTAGAGAAAGCGAAAAGAGCGTACGAATCATCACCATCTTCTAGCCAGTTCTATCAGGCGTCATACGCAGATAGATACTTCCACTTGCCTCCAGCCCCAAGACCTTGCTTTATCCAATTGAGGCGACGCAGACTCTGAGCAAGATGGTGCACAAGAGGCCGATAAGCCTACTTCCGTCTACTTCGATTGATGCATCTCTTGGGACGACAGGGAACAAAGGATGGCGATAGCCCAGGAAGTTGCCACTGCTTAGTGGCAGTTGTTGGCCGAGGACACGCAAGGATTCGGTGCGTATTGCTGAACCGGACTACGAAAATACAGGGTGGTGGCAGAGAATCGAATCTCAGCAACAGACGGCACTGAAGAAAGCTGTACATGGTGAAAGAAGGAAACAAAAAGGCCGCGCGTGGCCACGTGTCCGGTTGGCCTGAAGTGTGGATCCAAACGGGTCCCTTCTTCCACTTTGACAGTCCCCAGCAAAGATTGCAGAGCTACCTTGTCGAGCTTGCTGACCGCTTTCTTACCTTAACATTTACCATTCTCTTCCTTACGGATATCCTCGAAATGTCGGACATTTGCTCTTCGAATCACCGCTTGCAGTCCAAGCACCGTGCAATCCGAGGGGATGCACGGTCTCTTAGTATGCATAGTTAGGGAGATCGCAACTATAACGAGAGTGGCAGAAATATCCTGCGTGCCCTCAGGAGTACGGACCGTAACCTGGTCGATGAACTCAGGATTATGAGGGCTTCGTGAGAAACCTGTGACCATCCCGATTATTTGGCGAATATTCTTGTAATCCTCGCCAAGAAATAGACGATGCATAAACGTTTAAGCATGAAACTGGGTGTCGTTGGGACCTACCCTGCAGATACAGATCAATAAAAATAACAAAAAGCGGAGGCACGGCTTACCTGATGCTAGAAACTTTACTTTTTTCTTCGATATTCGGGAAGAGCTTAGCCACAGACTTGTATCCGAAGGCTAGAAGGACTTCAGTTGATATTTCGGAAATTCAATGAAAAAATAATACTGTGCATACTGCATTGGGGCACGTGCCGCAATTTGTCAAGGCGGGCCGTGCCATGCGCGTCGTCTTCCCTCTTCCCATCGTTGAAATCCAAGAATTCGACTCCATGTCACGGCGAGCAACACCTCGCATAACAACATCATCCAGAATGTCCTTAGTAGGATGGAAGAGTCTCTCACTGTCTGTCGAATGTAATTTGAGGCCGCATATGAATGTCGACCAGGTTGCAGGTACGTGCCCAGGAATGCTCCAGTTAGTCCTCCATGATGACGACTGCCTAAGTGTCGAAATATTTGCCACCGGAATTTTCACGTGACGAGTGCTAATAGGAGAGGCATGATGGTGGATCGCCAAAGGCGGGCGCGCGATGACGCGGGGCCCAATGTTGTCTCACCTTTTCGGAGTCGTTGTTTCGACGGCGTCGCCGTAGTTTTATATTGTCGTTCTGGTCGACCCTCACGATCTTCGCTCTATCTCGTACCTCTAATTGCCAGGTCTTCCAATGCTTGCTGGGTTTTGTGACTTAGAAGGGGTATTGTTCGGAAACTGCTCGTGATTTGTAGATGAAGCGCGGTCAGTCTAACATCTATGTTCAGTTCCGTCAGTAGTTCATTAAGTCGGTCCAGGGCCCTTTTTTCGAATAATGCCGAATCACATTTCTGTGCCGCTTCCTGACGCGCAACGTCTGGTCTTTATGCAGGGAAGTAAGACATTCAAGCCGTTGCCTTATAATGCTTTCATTACTACTTCCCTTTCGTATATCACTGTTAGGGATCGCCAGCCTCATGTTCGGAAACGAGAGATCGTCTCGCGTACTTTTCGCAGAAGACAGTGGTAGAGTTCGAGCCACATGTGTTCCGTACATCGACAAGCTGTGAATGGGACGGTATACATGGAGGACATGTCGGGCTAGAGGGTGAAGCTAATTCTGGACTGGTCATGACAGGTCTCTTTGGTTGGACTGCGTGCCTTGTGAGTAGGCTCCTCTCTTGTCTGCATCGTGCACTTACTATCCTTCTTTGCAAGGATGAACTATGTCGCATGTGATGTCGGTTGTCTAGCGTTTAGAGCCCCATTCAGGATGAACTGAAGCAGCTAGATACCGCTTCGGTGCCCAGAGACCAGCACGCCGTGATATGCTTCTTCGACCAAGCAAGGGAAAATATATCACGAAGCAAATACAGGCCAATAAGACTTTGAGTGGGCCAGCCGATTGCACCCAGGTCACGATGGAAGCTTTGCCTGCACGGCGGAAAGCACTGCTCAGCCGAACCCCGGAGGAAACTTGACGACCAAGTCAACTCTGACATCGCTACGGCGTCGGGTGAGTGAAGAACTTACTGTACCCTCAAGCGTACATCGAGGGTCTGTAACTACACTCCATGGTGGCTACGGGGCTTCCCGTGTAGCGCCTGAAGGTGAGATGATGGTTTCGAGGAACCCTTTTCCGGGAGGTGCGTTTGTTAGTGTTCCTACTTTTACGATTCATCTGGATCCGGCGGTATGGGAGATGGCTCGAATGTGATCTTGCAGGCATTTTTGTTGGATCTTGGTATTCCTATGACCTTGGTCTTGTCAGGATTACGCTCATGCCATCATAGATCTTGCGTCATTTATGAAATGCTTTCATTTTGTGCTGAATTTATGCTGATATTCTTTTTCGCCTGTCATGCTGACTTGTTTTATTGCGGAAGGTGAAACTAGGTCTCGTCAGGAAACCGTTAAGTGCTGTGCTGGCAGGAAGAGACATGAAATATGCTAGTCCATCATGCACTAGGGTGGCGTTCATGCGGAAAGAGGCAACCTGAATGTGATGTCCACAGCCATGTTTATGTTCAGTATTCGCAGTACCTCGTTCAAAGTCGGAAAGCGGCGAAAGGGAGGCCATACCAACGAGGGGTGTATCTGTGTATGCGTCAAGAATCCATGGCAATGGGAGAAAGCAGCTGTCAGGTTCGGGTTCTTTGACAATTGCTGAAACAAACTGGTCTCAACATGCTACAAGGTATGTTCTCCATTCAATCAGTTGTGGGCATGTCCACTGAGGACAGAGCCTAGGAACGGTGTTGGTATAATAGGGAACGCAAGCGGCCAGCAGCTGGTACCCTGAAACTCTTGAAGATAAAAGGTGGAATAGAACGTGGAACTGCGAACAGCATGCAGAAGTGAGGATGCGTGTTGACGCGGCCTACGAATCCATCAAAGCGCGGACTCGAGGTCTAAATAAACAACAAATTAACAGCTTCGTAGGGCGACAGGCTCAATTTCCGTGCTATGATGATTCCGAACTTGGTCAGTCAAGGTGCGGTAGTAACGCTTCAGGCCTTGCTCATGCAAATAGCGTTTTTTTTGCGACTACAGCATAGGAAGCGCAGGCCCTCAGCGGGCAGAGGACAGGTAAGCTTTGAGCGATCGTTAGAGGAAGCCTGATTGTTTAGCTTCGAACCATGAAATACAGGCGTTGAGACGGCACAGAAGTCGGTCATTTCATGCGATCGAGCCTCAAGACACAGACACACTGGAACAGCCAGGCTCAGTGTTACATCATCACAGCTCATTCTAGCAGTGGCAAGGTGGTTGGACGGGAGACGCCGAACGTGGTAACTTTCATGGGAAAGAGGGGTTCCTTCTTCACTTGCCATCATCTTGTTCGATGCACAATTTTTCATTTTCAGCAACGGATTCGTTGACGGGGTGCGAAAGAGGCATTATAAAGGCGTCGGAGGATGAGAGAACGACGTCGATCGCTTTTCCTCCCTAGCAGTAGGGGAATTCTACCGCTATGGTCCGGGATATTTTTCGCGACTCGACCATTGGCCAAGCTATCAACCACATATCCAACGGCCGTATCTTTCCCTACGCTGAGCAGCGGCCCGCTTTTCAGGTGCCTTTACATTTTTTACCCGTGAAACCACCTTCGACCATATTGTCTCCCGATTCCGACGCGATAACGCTGTGCAATGCGGAAACGCCCAGAGACACAATGCCTCGGGTGGAACTCACGAGGGAGTCGACTTTGGCTGTGGATGTTGAGGCGGAGAAGCATTGGGATTCTTGTACTGTAGGATGGTACAGTGACGACGACCAAGATAATCCGAGGTTCGACTTTCTCTGCACTCTCCGTTCAGCCCATTGACTGTATATGGTCTTCAGAAACTGGTCCCCAGCAAAACGCGCATTTGTCGCATTCTGTATCAGTTTCCTGACCTTTAGTGTGTACATTGGCTCAGCCATCTACACTCCGTCTATTCCCGGATTGATGATCGACTTCAACGTCTCCCAGACCACGGCTACGCTGGGTCTCACGCTGTACGTTCTAGGTAAGTGGATCACGTTCCTTCAGCCGACATGAACTCATGTTCCAATTAGCATACGGCATTGGACCCATGTTTTTGGCGCCCCTGCAAGAAATTCCCAGTATAGGTCGAAACCTGGTCTATATGGCCACACTATTCTTGTTCATCATCTTCCAGATACCTATCGTTATGGCAAAAAACATGAGCACTGTCCTAGCGTTTCGCTTCCTTACTGGGTTCGTGAGCAGCCCTGCACTCGCTACGGGAGGTGCTTCCATGACTGATATCTACCCTGTGAACCACATCTCGTACGTGCTGGGTATCTGGGCACTTGGAGGGGTTGCTGGTCCCATCCTTGGCCCAGTTATTGGAGGGTTTGCAGCTCAGGCGAATGGATGGCGATGGCCTCAGTATGAACTTATCTGGATAGTCAGCTTCGCCCTGATCTTCCTTCTTCTCCTTCTCCCTGAGACTTACGGGCCTACGATCTTGTTGAAACGAGCACGGCGGCTGAGGAAGTTGACGAGAAATCAACAACTGCGATCTCAGAGTGAGAAGGATTTAGAGGGGGAGTCATTTACGGCGGTGATGAAGGAGGCCCTCATTCGTCCCTTCATCTTGGCCAAAGAGCCTGTGTTGATGTTTTCCAATCTTTACATTGGCTTTGTTTGTCAGTCTCAATCGTGTGCTCTGCTATCGAATTTGACTTTGACACTCTCTTGACAGATGCTATATTTTATTTGTGGTTCGAGGCATTTCCGTTGGTCTTTACAGATATCTACCACTTTCGCCTTGGTATCAGCGACCTGCCCTTTCTTGGGTTCATCGTTTCTGCTGCGATTACTGTATGAACATTCGTGCTTTTATCACTACCATCACTAATTAGTGTTTTCCAGTACGCTGTATATGTCATCTACCTAAAATACCGCATCGCACCCCTTTTCGCAAAAGCTCGCACCACAGGAGTCGATGTCTTGCCTGAGATTCATCTCGAGATCGGACTCATGGCTAGTATCTTTATCCCGACGAGTCTCCTCATCTTTGGGTTCACAGCAAAGGAGAGCATCCACTGGATCTTCCCTGTTATCGGGGCTGCCCTTTACCACCCTGGCATCTACTTTAGCTTCCAGAGTATCCTGACGTATGTGACGTGTGCATATCCTGCGTATGCTGCATCGGTTCTCGCGGGAAATACTCTCTTTCGCTCGACGGTTGCCAGTGTCTTTCCGTTGTTTGGCCGTGCATTCTTTCTTAACCTTGGTCTGGGCCCGGGATCCGCTCTTTTGGCTGGTATCTCCTTCTTGCTCATACCGGTGTTCTGGGTATGTTGGATATGATACCTGCACTACCTATGTCGCTGACGTTATTTATACCAGTCGCTGTGGAAATGGGGCCCTGTGTTACGGAGGCGATCGGTATATGCCTTTAGCTCATGAAAAGTGTCCTCACCTTCAATTATACAGTGCCATTTAGAGATGGAAGGTGGTTGTGTGATAGTGTTATACTGTTGTATCCCTTGTCGACCTTTACCTGTAACTGTGATATCTATGACATCAAAGTACAATTTCACTGTAAAGATCTCATGATGGTGCTGTGTATCATTCTCCACGATAAGCACAAGGATCATCCTCAATTTAGCGATGATGTGAAATTTGTCGTTAATGTTATACAATGAAAAAGAATTTCCACCTGCTCTGGTGTCCCACATGATGAGAGTGGGATTCGAACCCACGCCCTTTCGGACCAGATCCTTAGTCTGGCGCCTTAACCGCTCGGCCATCTCACCATGCCCAATATTTAGAATATAAATAGCTATCAAAGAAATGATGATTATACTCAGAATAATGAGTACACTGCTACAAGAACTAGTCAACATCTCAGTAGTCACCTTTGAACCAGTTTAAGCCATTTATCCTTTTACAGCTATAAGACAGTTAGTGTCTGTCCAGAGATTACTTGAGTCTAAGGCCAAAAGCAGGTTTGAAGGCCTGGGTATAGACTGCAGATCCAAGCCAGACTCTGCTGGTGGTGGTTCCAATAGTTCCAACAGTTCTGATGCTGCTGACAGATCTGTCAGTATCTCATCTTCTTAGACAATGCTTCAAATTGACTCTTATAAAAGAGCAGCAGTAAGCTACTATATGAATAAAAAGGGTTTCAGCTACTTCTGCTTCTTTAGCTCTCCAGTGATCACTGTAAGATTTGATGCAGGACCTGATAAGAGAAATCATAAAAGACTAGCAACTTGACTCATCTCTTTTTCTTCTTAATCTTAATGGCTGCAGCCACTTTAAAACCTATATACTTCCAGTCTAAAGTGATGCAGTCTTTTAAGGCTGCTATGATATATTCTCCTCTCTCTGGAGACACTATCCATTTCTGATCAGCTATCTGCCTACTGCATATGCTCCTGTAGTAAGCCCTCACTCTCAAGAGCCACTCACACTCTCCACTAGATGATCTGGTTATATTCAAGACTGGAGGAGTGTGGGTTAATAGTGGAGGTTCTCAAGAAATAGAGCTCATACTCTACACACTTCTCACTGTCCTCATTGACCCTAAGAAGCTTATCAGCAATGTCCTGCTCAATATTACTATCATCTGCTCCTCTGACTCTGTTGCTTCCTCTATATATTTCTTCAGTTCTGTTACCAAGATGTCAATCTCTCTGTTTATGAGATTGAGGGCCTCTTCTCATCAGATGAGAATGAATCCTCTGATGTCTAATACCTTTGTCTAATATTTATTGGCTTCTTTATGGCTGGACTCATTGGAGATAAAGATGTCCACTCACATAATTGGAGGAAAGACATTAAGGTTGGTGAGCAGGGTCTCTTACTCATCAGCATATGAATAGTAGCTAACAATAGCATTAGAACCACATGGAACAACTGTGCATCATTATAGTCTTTGTCAGACTTACTACAGTGCAAAAAATACTCACTGCAATGATTTCATACTGGACAGATAGGAGTGCACCCACTGCATCAAGAGAATATTGCTATTGGGACATGCTTTGGACACATGATTCATAGTCTGTAGGGCTAAGACTTTCTAGCATAGTATTTAAGCAAGTAGATTATATTCTGTAATTCTAGTCTCAAGCTAAGATTTAATACAACTGAATAAACTCTCTGACTCTCAGTGCAATACTTAAGCCTCTACTGAACTTTTCTCTTATCCTCTTATCTTTTTTCTTTTCTATTTCTCTCTCTCTTTTCTTCAGCTAGTGTCAAATCCTGGCAGCTGCAGATCAAGTAGCAGATCAAGTATTTGCAGTTGTTTAATCATTGCTTGACATTTAGCTTGAGACATATCATGCTTTGGTCTGATAGTTCTTAGTCTAGAACTTTTACATGTTAATCCCAACACATGAAATCATTATTCTCAGCATTGCAGACTCTTGTCTAATTATCTTCATTCTTGGTATCATTTACAATATCATCAGAGCAAATGAGAAGATACAGAAGTGCTAATACCAGAGTGACATTTGATTTCAGGAGTGCTATCTTGCAGCTCTCAGGCTCACCCCTGAGTCATCCATGCAATTCCACCTCAGTGAACATGAGTTCATTGTTGAGTCCTGCTCAGAAACTCCATCAGCTTCAGAGGCTGATATTACCACCACCACCACCACTGTCTACACATAGCTAAGCAAAGCAAGGCACAGTTTCTGACATCTTCAGTGAGGTTTCTGCATGGCTGGGAGTGCTATATATTGGGATTACTAAGCATTAGTGATAAGATAAGATAGTTATAATAAAAGCAAAACAGTGAATCAATAGCAAGTTCTGGAGATATTTAGCAATCATCTATCCAGCCCAATCAAAACCATGTTATGGATGTAGAAGGCATTTTGAACAGCATATTTTCACTCAGTACAATACCTCTTGCTACAAAACATTCAATAGTTCCACTGTCTTATTATATCATCCAGTCATACAATAATAATATGCCACTATTGAGATATGTGAAATTAGTGTGACATCTGAAAGAACCAAAGATACAAGACAGAGTATAGTAACTCACACTTGAAAGCAATTGTTCCTGTTGTGCAGAAAAAGAAGTATCTTAGAGGCTGCACTGAAGCTCAAGTTGTAATAACATAAATCATTTGTTATAGCATTATATGATCGGTTTGACAAGTTAAAGTATGTTGGTATCGATTAGGGGTTAAATCACTTCGTTGTGGTATACAGGTCCGAAGAGCCGCAGGTTCGATTCCTGCTACCGACATCTCTGCTACCAGCTTTATGTTTTTCTTGTTCTCTTATCACTTTTGAAATTTGACTCTTGAATCTTCAGTCCTGAGTCCTGCTGACTCTTAAGGTATACCTGACCATTACAGTTCAGAGTTCTGACTCAAGTTTACATCTCCTCTGGCAATTACAGTATATACACGATCTCCCTCCTCAAACATATCTTCCACAAGTGATACAAAAAGCAGATGTAACGAGTAACGAGAAAATGAATCCATGAAGACCGATAAATAATGAAAATATAGACCCAGAAGTGAAATATGGTATACAATAATGTGGGGTACGAAAGCTGGAAGGAAAACCCCCCTACCGCCGGTGTCTAAAATCATACAAGTGTCCGTCCCACGACGAAAGCAAAAAAAAATAAAAAAGAAAACCCCGGAAAGATTCCGATGAATGATGTTTGATATTTCGTGGGGATGGGAAAAAAACTCTAAGCAAACGATAGCGAAAACAGAGCGATAGAGGTTATGTACACGTGTGACTTATTTACACGGCAAGCGGAGTGTCAAAGGATCCAAAAGGCGGAACGAGAGATTGGCCAAAAGATCTATGGTTTTTTTGTTTCGGATCGGGGCGAGTCCGAGACGGAACAGTGGCCTTTTTGTACGCGTGGAAGGGAGGCGGTTTATGTGGTCGATAACGAGGCTGAAGTGCGAGAGTAAAGAAGAGAGGATAAGGAGGTACGAGCGCGCAGAGATCATGGTATGGGTACAGCATGAAGGGAAATGAACCACAGACAAGATGAAGCGGAAGCAGAAGAAGGAATGGATTACAGGCGACTAGAAACTCTACAGTGAAGGAAGGATAGCACACAAGTCCGATAGATAAGTCCAAAACACCGAGGTAAAAGGAGGGAAAGAAGGGACGGGACGGCAAAGGAATAAATTCTGAGAATATTCCTTCGCGAGGTCCTTGTGAAACTGGTGGCACAGGGACAAGCAATACGCTATAACCCTTCTCCACGACCTAAGTTCCCAATATTTTGCATCCCTCCCCCAACCAGCCCACCCCCACTTCTCGGCCGGCCAATCAAATCCTGGGGTACTCCCCAAGAATTGGGCCCAGGTGCTTGATAATACCCTCCTCCGCCTTGAGAATAGCTGTGCTGATGACCCAGAGGGGCCGAGTCACTCCGTGCCCTCGTCGAGAACTTTTTCGAATTACGAACATTCACTACCTCTTCAGGGATGGTGTGTGGCGGGGCGGAAAGAATACCTCCAGGTGAATGGGTTCCAGCACTGCCCATACCACCGCTTGAAATACCCCCGCCCATCCCTACACCCAATAAACTCGACGACGTATCAATACGCGGGCGTTTGCGGTCTCCACCACCGGGGTGAGAAGAATACTGCAGCATGGGCGGTGGAGCAGGGGATGTAATATATATTCCCGGGTTAGGTGAGGGAAGAGTGGAGTGTGGATGAGGTGAAATGGAGGACATATGGTTATGGTTATGATTGTGGTTGGAGAAATGTTGGGGCGGATTTGGCGAGGAGGGCGAAGGCGAGTCGGATAACTCCGTTGGGAATTGAGGGACTGTGAATTTGGGTCAGCAATCGGAATAAAGACCATCGGGAATAATAAGAGGAAAACTTTGAAAAATAGGAACACCGCCATGGAAAGGAAAAAAATGACAAAGGGACAAAGGAATACGTAGAAGGCAGCAAAAATGTGGATCAGGACACTTCAGAAACGAAGATCGAATTGGGTAGATGCGCGACAAGAAAAGGCAGACATGCGAGCAGAGAAGGCGGGCCACGGACAGAGACGTGGGAACCGGACGAAGCAGGTTAGAAGGAAGACATGGCTAAGGCACGAATTTGGATGCAAACAAAGCAAAGCAGCAAAAGTAGACGCTCGCGGAAAGGGTACCGGAACCACAAGGAAAGTAGCAGCAAACCAGGAAGTATGCGGGTCGCACGTATCATAAGAATACGAAGATACTGGACAGCGGCAACACGAGACATAACACGTAAAAGAAAAGGGCAGGCCAGACAAGATCCCAATAACTGGAAAGAAAGGAAGCAAAGATGGGAATAACGGATGCAATAAATAACAATAACGATAGAGATGTGGGCTAAGAAGAGTAAAGGTAGTAAAAACATCCGCATATATGCGCAACGTAGGTGAACGCATGAAGAACCAGAAGGGAAATATAACACAAGTATACGGAGGGGCAGAAAACATACGGTAAACATATGGAGATAACTGGCAACAGAGGAGAGGTCAAAGCTTTCGGGACGACGTTGCTTTGGCGTAGGGGAGGGGGGGATAAAGCGCGCAGAAAATGGGGCGAAAAGTGGCTGGCGAGAAAGGACGGAGCAAGGCAGGACGCGAGAATACACAGCGGAGACGTGTAAAATGGAACTGGCGAATACATTGAAGAAGGAATAGAAGAGGGAAAGCAAAAACGAAAGAAAGTCAAAATGAAAGAAATGTACTCACGACTACCAGGGAAACCTTTGCCAACGAGATCCCATAACCTTGTGACAATGTTGGTGAGGCGCTCTACTTTGCGACGCTCGTGAACAAGGGCATCCCACAAGCGGCGGTTATCATCACGCATGCCTGCAAGTTGTGCGGCGACCTGGGGACAAAGAATGATGAGATGATAATCCGAGGAGGAGAACAAATGCCATGGAAAATCCCGACACGAAGGCGAAAAGAACGCGGCAATGGAAGGATGCCCACCTCTCCCGGTAGCTCGACTCTATGCTTCGCGCCCAAATCGGGCTCTAGTGCTTTGCGCTTGATATCATCGAGCAAGTCGGGACGTCCCCGCAGAAACTTGTGGTGAGAGAATTCCCAAGTTTGCGAGTCGGTAGAGGTACGCTGTGCACGAGGCGTACGGTTGATTTTGTGGAAACCGTACATGTTGAGTTGTCGCACGAACGACGAGAACTGCGTTCGCGGTGTCAAGTACTGTTGCTACCATCAAATATTTCAGAAGCACGCACGTTATTGTGCTTGAAGTGGCTGCCCAATATGCTCCTGCTAAACTCTCCTATATTTGACACGACGAACGACGTTCCGAGCTGAGTCCACGTAATAAACTGCTCGGATTTAGGGTCAGCAATCATTCTATCGCATTCACATTGAGAACAGCATTTGTGGAGCAAAAAGGAGTACGAACTGATACAGTTTCGTTACAAAGTTGTTGGTCGGCATTGGCTTGCCCAGGACACCAATAGTCGCAGATCCAGGCGGCCCCTCTGTTGGTGATGGTTCCATATCCTGATCCTGGTCGTCGTCTGTTGGAGGCGGTGTCGTGCTACTAGTAAAAGAACGTTTTCTTTCAGTCCGTTGAATCGACGGTGCTGGAGATGCTGGCGAAGAGCCGACAGAGAGCGACGAGAGATTAAGCGACAGGGTCTCCCTCCCGTTTTGCTGTTGCTGTGTCGCGGTAGGGGTATTGCTGCTCGAGCTGGACGTCGGAAAAGGTGGGTAGGCCTGAGTGGGCTGGTCAATGGATGAGGCAGGCGGGGAAGGGAAAAACGAGTAATCCATCGACGGTGGTGGATGGAGAGAAGGAGCGTTGTTTGCGAGTGTGTGATGGGATAATACGTGCCGGGGGTCCGGGACTTTTTGCCGGCGGGAGTTATTTTCTTATCCTCCTACATCATTTGCTTGATGTCGCCCATGCGGTCCGTATTCGAGCACGCAGCACGTTATTTGGCTTTCTTCTCCGTCCTCTTAGCAAGGAATTCAAAAGATTATTATTATTTTCTTATCTTGGGTCACCGTTCGCTGTTTGGCTCAGGGGACCTAGCATGACAGGCACTATTACACGTGCCTAGCTTCCATCGGCCTTGGCCTCCGGTCCCTCGTGGCTTCTGTCAGGGCGCTTACCTACCCGAGCGCGGCTTGCGCCGTTACTGTATACGTATATCCACGTCGATAAAATTTGCTGGGAGCCACCCTTTTTTATCAATTTTGGTGTAGTCTGTATAGCTAAATCAAAGCAGTCTCTGGCCGCCTCTATACCGCCTTTGTACATCCCTCGTTCCGCAGTTGCCCTTCCATGCGACACGGTCGTGCTTTACCTCTCACCCTTACTTCTCGCTCTATATTTTACTTCCGATCCCCCAGCATTCTTGTGCACCACTCTCACGCGTTTTCAGTTCTTACCCTTTTGCCCTCTTTTTATCCATCATTTTTTCGCGTCCCATTCCCACCGTTACGAGTCCAGATCCATCACGTTCATATCCAGATTTCAAACAATTTGCAAAACTCGCGTATCGGCTAACACAGTCACAAAAACAGATCCGTCATTTGACTGATTCTTCGGACTCGAATGGTACCGCGACGCCACTACAAAATATTGCACCAACCTCGATTACACCATTTCAACAGGCGGTGAACTCGAACATGTACAATAATAAACAAGGTACTCGTCTCCCGTAGCGCTTAACTAATTCCTTACGGCAGTTCCAGGAGCTTCATTATAGTACGCCTCAAGTGGACCCTGACAGCACCCGCTACGTTATCCTCAAGGACACTCTACCCGCGAACATACAGGACGGCACCGAGGCCTACTAACAGCCTACTGTCGCTCCAGTCGTAAACAGACGCGCTTTTGTCGGCGGCGTACAATCTCCAAGCTGGTCCGACACATCTGTAACGGTCCTCCGTAAAATAGATGACATCAAACAGCTCCGTATTGGCGCAGTTTCTCCAGTAAAGACGAATTCAAGACACCGTAACGGCGGTAGAAGGCCGTCATCTACATGGCGCTTGCCCCAGAAATAGACGGAAGGAGCTTTCAACGCGGGTCCTATTTCCGAATCCTCTCCCCCCGACAGAGGTGATTTGGAAACTTTATCTCCGACTAATCAGCGAAGTTATAGGCAAGTCTACTGGCCATTGGGCCATGCGGGATAAGGCAATAATATTGAGCATCGGATGACTACAAACCTAAGGGATCATGAAGTGGTCAATGCGACCTAAGGTAGCGCTGAGGGTGTTGACAGAACCGTAAACACCTCTCTCAATTATCTGCTAATCCATCGCTTCAAAAAGAAACGTCCGAGCCATTTGAATTGTATTCCAGAAAGTTGCGTGTTGATCGACGGATTAGAGTCTATCGCAAGAGCTCCGGGGCCAAGTTGTCACCCATAGTACCGATTGTTCCATGGGAAAATCCGCCTCTGAATAGACGTCATAAATATCTAGCCTCCAGTGTTCCGACCCCTGCAATAAATATAACTTTCCATTGTAACTTGTTATCCCAGGCCTCAGAGGTATCATGATTCTTGGGAGCCATCAGTCCTAAGATATGGCACCCGAGCTGCTGACCCTCTAGCAAACAGTTTCTTTCAAACACCAAGGGCAAACGGAGATCTACCATAGTCACGGAATCCCTTATTGGTCGAAGTGCGCTTGATTGTCACTACGGACCTGACATACGGTAGTAACAATGCCATGGCACCTGTTCAACGATCAGCCTCCTTTCCAACCTCTTTAAATAAAGATACTCGGAGTTATGGTAGCCAAACGTGCTCTTGTAGGTCTGAAAGGATGCTACACTTCAGCAAGTGAGCTTTTGAACCGTCATATGTAGTGTCGCACTTAGAAGTTTAATTGATGGGTAGAACAGACATCTGGACCCAGATTACTGCATTAGATTTGGGAAACAAACAGCTAGACAGATTAGAATTGATAATGAGAATCATCCCCGACCTCGGCCCTGTTCCATAGTTTTCTCCCACTGTAAAAGCATCACGAATTTCAATACAATACGACTACTATCTCCGCATCGTAACACAGCGGATGGCCTCAAGTTACCGAACAGGCAAAGACGGTAAACATTGCACCAGATGACTCGGCAATCCAGACAGCCATCTCCCACATTCAAGTTAACTTTTTGCGCTGGCCATCCGGCCGATAAAAAGAATACCCGAATGAAGAATCAAAAAAGAGCGGCAGAATCCAAGTTACGAATGCAAATGATCATATGTATCTCCAATAGCTTGCACCCGATCATTTCAGTGGCAATGAATGGGCCCAGCAGCTGATTCCGGATGATTTTAGGAACAAGGACCTGGCTACAACCACCGATGGTACAAACTCCCTCCTCGACAAAACAGCTAATGATTATAAAATTATCCTAAAGCCAAGCCAGACATCATGAGAGTTTCCTCTTGCATTTCAAAATCGTGAACTCAATTCCACGCGGTCACTAGTACGCGATCTCCCAAATCGTAAACGATCATCACCGACACATGCGGCTCCGAGTCCTGATAGGTTCGGTCACGAGAGAGGGGTAAAATAATAATTAAACTGACTTTACCTTCCGCACGAGGAGCAGAACTCACCCATGAATTATAGCCAGAATATATGAGCAGCGGCCCGTTTTCGACGCGCTGAGTCAAGGTCCAGTTCAGCTCAATCAAGAGGACCAAACTTCTGATAGTCTCTCACGGCTGGGCTTCCAATCCATGTTCGGATTATTACGCGTCATTCCGCCAAATCGCTAGGGAGTGGGGACAGCAGAAGAATATCCCTGATATTAAATAAACGACGTGAGCGTACGGTCGGACTCGGAGGACTTCAAAGGCTAGACCCTGCACTGATCAAATCTTCCATCCATGTCAGCAGTCAGAAGTGTGGGCGGGAATTCAGTCACAAGGCTCAAAAGGAAGTTAACGGTGGCTTAGACAACATCTTGGCTCCAGACAAGAGGTCCAGCCAGCCCACCCCAGATGGAACTCCAGTGCAGCTCTCAAGTCGGTGTACGGTCACGAAATGGGAGAGATCAAGCGCACAAACAACCGAAAGACACAGGGACGTACTAGTATAGCCAGCCATTGATTTACCTAAGGGGCGTTTTTGAATTTGAGTGAAGCGAGAACAAAGGTCGACCGCGGCCCTTCACCGATCGACCTTACGGGGTTTTTGATGATCTTTTGCTGCGAAGGGCGCCTGATGCAGCGAACGGGGCGCCGAGGGATTGGCTTGAAGAGAATAATTCCCATCGACATATATTCGTGTGATCCAACCTGGCAAGGGGTAAAAAAACATTAACAGTCCTGAGTGTGGACACAAGAACCCAGGTCCAGGGCTGAGAAACGGCTGTGAATGTACGTGAATGTCGAACGCACCTGTTTAGGTGGCGTTGCTTCCGGTGCAAACGCTCTGGGATGAAAAGGAAATAAACAGGAAAATCGCCGCGTCCAGCGTACGGATCACCGGTCCGTACACCATAATCTCGGCACGTGACTAACGCGGACAAATCTAAATCTCCATCTTGGGACGTTTGCACGTCAACCATGATAACGGTAACGAAATGATGTTGAGACAATGTTGGCGCAGTCGGGCAACAAACTACGGGGTAATCTCCGATGGAAATACCCGATATTTTCTGCAGGTTCGTGTGCGGATCTGCAGTGCTTACATACTATCCTCGGGCTACAGTCAACCGAGACGCGGTGTAGGCTAGGTTGGCCCTAGTAGATTTTGAAGGTACAAGGTACATGGACGCACGGCCATTGTGTGTGGTTCTTGGAGTAATAAGGTGGTCTCTGTTCCAACTTTGCTCTGTCATTTTCGCTTATTTATCTGGGCAGACTACGCAATTTTGGACACAAGTTAAAACAGAAATGTCATCCCAAGATTCTCAACGGAACCCCCGTCTCCAACTCTACTGTAACACAACTCCAATGGTGCTGGTCGCGCTGCGCTAAAGGATCCTCCAACGACGAACTGCGCTCGCTTGTGTTAGTCTTGGCATGCAGGCTTTTCTCCGTTCCTAACAGCTGGATCATGACACTCCCTTCAACGTAAATTCGCCTGCCGCTGATTTACAAGAAAAAATGTTCAACTCGCCCAATTCGATACGCTTAGCTGCGGAAACCTTGAGACTGGCGCTTCAAGTCCAACAAAACGTTGTACTGCTCATATTGCAAATTGTGTACACCGATCGGAAGTAAGGCCGTGTACAACCCTACATACCATACTAATATACCCCCCAGACTCGGAATTGCCCAGCTCCGCTCAACGGATATCCCAATAATGTTTCAAACATTGACCAATATGGTCTTCCCGTCGTGAACGGATTTCTACCCAGAAACAACGGATCAGGGCTCTGATCTCGTACACGCTCTCCGACTGTGATATTTTTGTTTCCCTTTGGGAGACTTTCAGTAACTTATGGGAACCCACCCAGTAAACAGGCTGCGAGGCTCTGCATGGGAACAGAGAGGATAAGAGCAATTGCCCCAATGTGTAGAGCACCGGCCTCGGTAGCGATGAACTCCACCAATGAAAGACAGGATTGTACTTGAAAGCAATAACGGCAGCGGCGGAGCCTGTGCCTTTCGAAGCGCTAGGTTTGCTTCTTGTCTGTGCGCTCTGCCAACGGCACTTGCCTTTATTGTCTTTCTCAGTATGCCTATCTCCCTTCGTTCTGTGCCTTGATCATGATGAACTGATTCAGTATTAGCAGGTGCTTTGGACCTGTACTTGTAATGGACGAAACCTCCTTCATAGAGCGGACCACCTGAAATTAATAGCAGAATGTGCGCTTTTTTCGCCTTCAAACTTTATACATCACGTCCTTTTGTCTCATATCTTATCATAACAACTCTGACGCCACGTCTAGCCACCGCATGGTTCAGGAATTCAAATTTGTGGCGAAAACTCGCGAAAACCTTGTTTTTTTGTCGATGAATATCACCAAAGTACGTTATGTGACGTTTAGCTCTCTCGGAACTGGACGATCTGCAGTTTTTGCAACCGACACGTCGCGTCGGACTACTCCCAGGCCCGAATCCTGGGCGTCGGATCTTTATTGCCGTATAGGGTAGAGGATATTTGAAATTACACCATCGAATGTCCCCGTCACACTATAATGTTTTGGAGGCCTGCTCTGCGTTCCAGCCTTTTTTTTCAAACAAAATACAGGGTCTTCTTAGTGGCTCCTCTAGCAGCCAGCTCAATGGACATTTTATTCCAGGATCTTCCTTTTGTAGCGTGTTAGGTTTGTAGAGCATGGAGCGTGTACAATTATCATAATTACTAGGGCATGGGGCTAGCCGTCCGTATGCACATGAGTTCGCGGCCGTTTGGTACCGTGTACCTTAGGTCGACTGAGGAAGGAGACCTATATGTGTACGAACAGACACGAATGAGCATCGAGACTCCAATCACCATCCCACGACAGGTTTGTACGGTTTTTTACTGGCTAACGAAGCGCGCACTAGGAACTGAGAATACCACCCAATCGTTAAAAATCACGAGACACATCTTTACACCACTTGAGTTCTTCCATTCCGGCGCTAGTGGGCCTTCATGACCTGGAAAATTGCAAGGCGTTTTTTGTTTTTTAATTGCCAAAAGATGCAGGAAGGTTCGGCAGGAATACAATTGGGGTGAATATATGATAGTACAAGGACTTAGCTAAGAATACAAAGAGTATGTTAAACCTAATGGAATGATCAATATATAACTAAGAGCCCTGTATACATTCGATCTAAACCGTGTGGATTAGGCCGCTGAAAATCAGAAAATTTTGATGTCATAATCTTCCACAAGTCCAGCATACGTCCAAGAGCTGGCTATATCGGTCCATCTCCTCCTCTACGGACCCAATTCCAGTGCCTGTATTAAATATTCAGCCACTGCTATCAATGAGAACCATACAAGTTACATACCTAAAGCACCGGCTTACCAGCGAGGGCAGAGCCTGGACCCAGACCAAGGTTGACGAAGAATGTACATCCGAACAGCGGGAAGGCGCTTGCGATTGTGGAACGAAGAAATGATCACCGGCGAGTGACAATTCGGCTGATAGGCAGGGTTTTCCCTATGTTATATGTGAGAATGCTCTAAAAGGTAAGCTAGATGCCGAGGGCAATTCCAGCAACGGGAACAATTCAGTGGATGCTTTACTTGTACGTGAGTCTAAAAATGAATACGCTAGGTGCGATGGAAATGCTGGCAATCAAGTCAATTCTCGGGACGAGCTTCCGGTGTGCTGTCCATGTCCTCAGCGACAGCCCTGGAAAACGACGGTGTAATGTGGAAGGAGACGTATGCAGTGTACCAAAGAAGGCCAGGGAGCGGCGGCATTTGCGAAACATTAAATGAGGGTACTAACTTTAATCGTACTAGATACAACACACACCAGGAAAGGGTGACCACTGATGTCCGAATTGAAGTTGTATATGTCGGTGAAGACCAGTGGGAAGGGTTCTAACCACAAGTAGAAATTTACGTCTGATAGAATGCCCGTCAATCATACGTTCGACAGACAATATGTAGATTTTACTCACGAACGAGACAAGGTCGGTATTCGTGGGTATTAGAACAGCCTGGCTCCTTGACAAGAATGAAGAGACGTATCAGTGCCTACTGGATGATGCCCGCAATCGACTCGCCTGTAAATTCTTCTCGCTGTGGGACAGCAATTGCTGATGACCTGTCAACTTCCTCGGTCGCTGTGCTCGCTTCAATAGAATGCTGGACTTGCAAATTTCGCGGAGAAGGACCAGGAGGAAACGGACGTGGAGCCAGATGAACTCTCACTGAGGTCACTGCCATCCGTTGCAATTCTGCCGACGACTGAACAGGTAAGCGGCCCGACAACGGCCCCCAAGTGCCTAGACACTCTACACGTGTGAAAACTGGTGCAGGGTTCAGGTATCTGCCATGAACGCACCTCCTGCGCCCTGCGCAGGGTTCCCGACGAGCCCGGAGCTGAGCAAGCGGAGCGCAAGACCCGTACTCATGTTTTTTCACCGTAACGACGGGTGTTCTGGGAGACGACGAATAAGGATAGGGTCGCCATGTGCACCGGTTTACGTGCAATAACCTGTAGTCTTGTCAAGTTTTTGCAGAGAGACAAGGACTGTACGCTGATGAAAGGAGTTAGGCCGAACAGACAGGATATCAATGAGCGTCGGCTGACCAAGAACAAGATTCCCGTAGTCAAGGTGGATTCCCTCGCCACTTCGTCGCTAGGCGTTGAAACGTCTCTGCATTTTCACTCCACTGGTGTCGCAATGGAATCGGAATGTGGTTGTCGACGGTCTTTCAGGTGAAGGGGGGATAAAATAAGAAGGAACTATAAAGCCAGGTTGCCAAGCGGCCATTGAAATGTCGATGGACTGGCCTATGTGGAGCAGGGAAACATGACGTGGTCCATAGTGATCTATTTACGGGCGAACTTGAAGACAACAAAAGTCTAAGGAGAATGGTTCTGTCTCCTCTGACTTATTTTATACCTAAAACGATGCTTCTACATCCATTGATGACTGATATTTGAAGTTTGAGCACCCTTTAGGTCGAATTTCCAAGCAAAGGTTCTGTTTCGGATTGACATTCGTGCGACCATAACTAGGTTTTCTGTTTGCCTTGAAATTCAGGTCTCACGGTGATTACATGGAGTCTGATAAACAAAAAGAGGGACTGTAATACATGACATGGATTAGAGAACGTGACATGGAATAAAGATATTTGCACGCACGCTGTAGCTCGCGATTCGACGTGGTACGGGTGGCCATACCCGGAGGAGAGATGATAAATTTAAAATAGGATTCCTTAATGATACCCAAGAAACCTCTCTTCTAGGAACACTGTGCTCATGGCGAATTCGCCCAAGAGGGAGGAGATGAGGTTGGACGGGGTTCTGCAAATGGAATACCTATTTCCATTTCTGGTATTGCCACGGCACTCCTGTGCCGACGCCGCCTTTACACCATTAAAGATGGGGACGCCTCTGAGCGCCTGTGGCCCACAGAGAGGATATAGGTGAAATCTGATGTTTTAGTTTGATTCCAACTCTCCCACCGTGCGTGCTCTGCAGCAGACGGCAGAAGTTGATCAAGCCGAGATAATTCAAGTCGCGCCACGTGCCTCGAACGTGGCGAAGGCGTTTTCTTTTTGTTGTTCAAGTTTGAAAATTTGAAGTCTCAGTGACACCATCATCATGCACCCAGAAGTCAAGAAGATCCGGTCAATCCTTGAGGATGTTTCTTTCACTAGTGGAAGCTTCAAGATCAAAAGGGAACGATGCCTGCTTTACTACAGGCGTAGCTCTGAGGATTCCGTTGCACGGTTCGCTCTCCATTCACCCTACTTGTGCTCACTAACAAACAAAACATCAGAGTCATAAACCTAGCTCATCCAACGGGTACAGAGCTACATTCGTTAGCGGAGGCTTGTATACCGGCCCCTTTCGGTCGAAATTCTGAGGAGGTGCTCGATGATAATTACCGCAAGGCTCTCAAGCTGGATACTTTTCTTTTTGCCACTACACTAGATCTCCATATGACCGAGATTCTTGACCAAATTCGTGTAGACCTCGTGGAGGGACATTTATCTACAGAGAATCGTATCCGACCCGAGCTTTACAAACTGAATATCTATGGTGCGTAGCTGCATAATTCTTGTTGGCTCCTTCAAGCTTGTCCTCATATGTCCGCTATCAGGTGAAGGATCTTTCTTTAAGCCCCACAAGGATACCCCTCGCTCTGAAAATATGTTCGGCTCTCTCGTCATTGTCTTTCCTACTAGTCATCAAGGAGGCGGGCTTGCCCTCCGCAGCCACGGGAAAGAGTGGATCTTCGATGTTAGCAGTCTCCTTGCCAATAGCACCGCCGAAGTCCCGAGGATCGCCTATGCAGCGTTCTACAGCGACGTTGAGCATGAGGTCCTCCCCGTCACCTCGGGTTCTCGTGTCACCCTGACTTACAATTTGTACCGAGAACACGACACACACACACAGGGGACATTCATTGATACCGGAAACCACATTACTACCTCTGAACTCAAACAGTCCATTGCGAAACTCATCGCCGATCCATCGTTCTTACCCAGAGGCGGAAAGCTTGGCTTTGGTTTGCGTCACCAGTATCCTTTGAAAGCGAACGGCGGGAAATTTGAAGTTGCAGATGTTCTTGATCTTCTGAAAGGAAGCGACGCATCCCTTTACGGTGCCTGCGACAGCCTGTCTCTGCCTGTGGACGTCCGGATTTCCTACATGCCAAAAGGCGACGAGAAGCGAAGATACCTTACCGATAGCGAATTCTATCACTTTACTCTCTATGATGAGTCCCTCAGCCTTTGGATGAGGCAAGAAGGTGTTGAATCCGTCAAGGAGCAAGAGGATTGGCACGATAGCCGCATCCACAATTCGACTCGTATCTTTTGGGTTACACCCAGAACAGAATTGAGTCGAGTAACCACTCCTTTTGCGTACTATGGAAATGAGCCTGATCTTGGTTTTCTTTACGGAGACATTTGTCTTGTCGTTGATCTTATTCGAGAGGGTAGCAGTGGCGAAGAATCTGAGGAGGAGGAAGTTGCGGAGAGTAGTAGTGAATCTGAGGGCCTCTATTAGGTTGCTTCTTTCTACAACCGTATCGTGTCGTTAAACATAAATTGTACCCCCCCAAGTACTCAAGTTTACTCAAGATGTAATTGTGTACAGTATAACCTTCCATCATCAATTCTTCTCTACCAGTGAGCATTGTATTTACTGGCAGTCAATTTGAGTTACCTATGCCCCCAAGTTCAATACACGAGCAGTTTCATCTAAGGTTGCAACGTCCGCCATTTAAATTTACAAACGTTCGCTGAGCTCAAGCCAGTTCGATAGTATGGAAAGTCGGACTGTCACGAAAGTGACGAAACCGGATGAACGCGTTATTCGGCTTCCTTACGTTGCTTCCTACTGCCGTGATATATTCCTTTATCTTATGGATAATTCGCCTGGATTTCTGTTTGACAGAAAGCCTTTGCTCTGTTAGAATGTATCTTCACCAGCCTGACTCCGACATAACGTATGACACAGAAACAGCTATTAGGAACCGGTCGCCCTTGGACATCGAAAGCGCATGGATAATGCAGTGGATATGAATGCTGCTAGTGAATGTTTCTCCTTCTGCTTCGTTGACGAACACAATAAGTCGATAACTGTGGCTTGGAGTAGTCACTGTATTGACATAATGCGAGTTTATGTGGTGCGTTATCTTTTGTTCTAGTGTTCCCCGTTGTCTGACTGTTCTTGTCGTTTTCAGACATGCAGCCTCATTCCAGCCCTTTTGACAATCAATTTATGTCCGGGGATCCTCATTTTGAACTCGATGGAGACGGCAGAAAGCGCGACATTGGGACCTGTTCGTTAGCGAAGGAAATGACCAGTTGACACTAGTCCTTAGTTTTTAGCTCTGACTCAGACCTTAGCGCTCGAGCAGCCTTTTGGACTATCAGATATTCGGCCTGTGTTTTCCAAGCTATGCTCATCGGCCACCCTATGCCGAGATTATAAACTATATGCCAACGGGTAGAAAATTCGTTCTGAGATGAATAATTCGTCTGGCCATAGAAAGGGATGAAGAGGCCGACCAAGTCTTCTTCTGTCTCTTTGCCCCATTTCTGTCATTCTCGAAGACAATGGCCAGTCCCGCAGCGTTTCATGAGCGCGAATTCCCCTTCGCAGATTAATAACTTTCTGTTTCCTTGGCGACGAGGAAGTATTTCGGCTTATAGATGCGTCTCTCCGCACATAGTGCAGAGCCTAGGTATTGTTCGGCGCTCTTTCTCTATTGGGTGATGTCTTCATATGCGCAGGACAGTCTGGAAGAAGTTTCCATTGTGACAGCACAAAGAAGCGCGGCGTAATGCTCGCCAAGGCGATTGATTATTCTGACCTTCGTAACCATAGGTTTTGACTTGCAGCGATGCAAAGCTGCTGCGTACAATAAGCAAAACAATGCTCAGTGTAATTTGGAGGACGACTATTCATCACGTAGATAATATCTACAACACCACGCTGTGAGACATATCTTACTTCATCTGCCCAAGTTCATTAAATGTTGACAGTCCCAGCACGAACGATGACATCGGGCACAAAATCAGTGGCGTAGAATAACACAGGTACCTCACTACCAAAAAGCATTTTTGTTATTACTGATGCATACAAACTCTTGACCTATGCAAGAAAAAGCTCGCATTGTTGCATCTTCCGTCGTGATCCCATGAACGACTTTTAATTGCTTTCACTTGATGCCAGGAGGAAGCAAATAATGAAGAAGAGCGATAGAATGAATCAGGTGCGAGCGTCGTCCTCGCTCGAATTCTGAACTGTTGCCTCGTAGTAATTCTCGGCTATCCCGGTCATATTTCAGATCCTTCCGAAGTCGTCCATCCCGCAGGACAATCCTCAACCCGAATTCCTCTCCTAGCAGCCAATCAGACGCGGTATTTTTTAATTACATCAATTCTCTTTACGTACCGAGGAACTTGACAAGCTTGCAGCCTTTCTACACCTTCGAGTCTGGAGCGAGGTGCTACAGGGGACACCGGTTCACTGACATCGGAATATGTCGCGAGAATACCGTTGCTCGCACCCTCGGTCCTAATCCGTAGCGACCTCGAATCGCGTATAAAAAGGACCTGGTTTGTGTTTAGTTTCTTCAACATCTGCATCATGTCTGCTCCAGAAACCAGATACGCCCCTTCCGACCGTGCCTCTGTTGCCGGGGGACAACTCGTTGGCCAGTCCCACCAGGGAACTGTTGCTCCAAAAGCCGCCGTCAAGCTGCGCTTGGACCTTAACCTGGAGGTTGAGATCGCCATCCAGGCCAAGGTCAACGGTGACATCACTCTGTCGCTGCTGTAAGTTGGTCTGATGCCATTTTGGAAGGTTAGAACTGACTGTTTGATAGCGAGTAAACGTAACGTGAAAATGAGGGAGGGAGGTAGATTCGGAATATGCTCGTCGGGTTTTGGTAAGATTTTACTATATAATAGGTAGCTGTACGGAGTCCTGAGATTTATTCTGCTAGGACATCCGTTGAGACATCGCCTCTTCTTATTCCTCGACATTATATTTGGTGTTGATAGATTTTCTGGATATCAATATATGTATTGTTTGGGGAACATCAATCTATTTGAGTGCATTTTTGGGGATGCCTACTTTCAATCTCAGTATCCATCGTAACTGCGTAAGGGTTCTCGGGGAGTTGTTATGTGTATTTTGGAGCTGCAGTGCTCTCAGAGAAACACTTTAAATTGGAGAAACTTCTGCTATAACAGAACAAAGGATTCATAGAAATAATGTTGGAAATGTCAGACTTGTAAATGGTCCATGGTAAGGTCAAGTAGTGTGTTATTGTGACAGCTTAGACAATTCATGTCAATGAAATCGGGGTGTCCGTGTCTTACGAAGGGAGACAAGCCAAGACATGTAGCCAGGCAAGGATATGGGTGCCGTGCCCTACGACGGTCGCGTTATTACGTGATAACTTTCGTCTTACTGCCTAAGGTGCTAGTAGGTAGGTAGATAGGTAGGTAGAATTATACGGCACGATCCATCGAAGGGACGCCGGGCGTAGATAATACAACGGTCGTGGTGAAAGGAACGAAACAAACGCGTCGGCGCCAGTGTTTGCCGAAAATCGTCTTTCCCTTCCACCATCATGCGACGCGATACTTCTATTGCATAGAGCAGAGCTGGTCTCCTTGATGACTCCGACGACTCTATGGCAAGCTTTATACTGTATACCCGCGTCGACATGTGAAATGAAGGTTCAGCAGCGCTCTTTCATGGTGGCGTGTCCATTTCTGCGTTGTTAAGCCTTCATGTCATAACACAAACTCTTAGAGAAGATATATGGTTTCTGTTTCTCTCAATGCCGCCATTATGTATCTCTATGGAGAGTCATCAAAGCGTCTATGCGATCTTACTAGAATGTATGCGCTGGGAAAAGGTAGTGGCAGCGGAGCCCTCGTCGATTAAGGAAACAGGTCATTCTTATACTCTGCGTAGCTGATTATCACAGCGAATAAGCTGCATGCTACCAAAGGAACAATTGGATCGTCACATAAGCCAGCGGACTCTGGTGCGTCCTTCCTCCATGTATGCGCCTTCCGTTCCCATATCTGTTTAGTGAATATCAAGCGAAGAGATGACAGGACGTATTTCTGTTGTTACAGGCATGGGCTGGCATGCAAGAGGTCACCTCGGATGATTTGCGCGTTGTTGTTTCCGTATGGGAGATTTGAGTCGTGACGCAGATGCTACTGTTTTTCCTACAGCAAAGAACGTATCTCCGATAGTCATTCGAACGTGGCAAAGTCTATCAGTGATTAATCAAACGTACTATCACCGATTGCTTCGAGCGTACCTGGACGTGTTTGTTTCCTCGTTGTCTCATTCAGGAATCCTGATTCTTACCTAGTAGGCTTTACGAGTAACTTTGGTTGCAAGTTATGCTATTCATTGCTTTCAACACGTCAACCAGGGATTGGTGCACGACTTTTTCAACAACGCCTGATGCTCACTGACTGTGGTCATCGATGTGTCCGGGAGTACGACCATAAAACTATTGACAGAAGAATATATGTGAGTATCTCAGTCGGGCACAACGTGGGTGAAGCGACTGAGACATACAGATAGGAACGGCTGGACTATATAGGTGATCGGGAAACGACAGGAGGTATAAGTATATATAAGGCAAATAGAGCGAGTGATCAAAAAGTAAGATAAGATGAAACGTACGGATATTCTCCAACAAAAACCTGCAGTTAATCAGCAGGGCCGTGGCGGCCGCCTCATAGCTTTGTAGGTGTAGACTTCGGTGTGAGTATACAACTTTATGGGAGTTCGGCTTGTGAAGGGGGAAAGAAAAGATGCTATTTGAGGATGAAGTACATAGCTATTTGTACTATAGTAGAGTGGCAAAATGGACAAAGGTAACTAGAAGAACAATGGGATGTCGAAAGAAAGGCCACTGAAAGAAAGGGGAGGCTAACTAATGAAGACAAGTAAACGTGTTGTAGACAAAGGAAGGCAGAAGAAAGGGAAGGTATCTAGGGAAATAGTATAGTAGAATGTGTGAATCCTCTACATCTTCTTAAACACTGTCTGTTCTCCTCCTGCATTCCCCACCACTGGGGGATCATGAACTTTCTCTGGACTTTAGAAATCGCACTCCCTACTTTCGGCGCCGCTTTGTATCCTGGGAGTACCTTGCGACGCGAGCAGTACTTCAAACAGACATGCGTCTTGGACATCGATGCACTGGGCCCACACTATCTAGTGAGAAAATCAAAGGAACAGCCGTCATCTGCCGTGGAAGGTATGTATCCACTTATCTCTGACGCTCATACACTCATCGTCTGATGGGTTCTCCAGTACTGGAGGTCTTCTCGCAGCCAACTCGGGTATGTCATGACTACTTTGATGAAGTTGTGATCGTCGAACTGGAGGGGTGGATAATTCTGCAGACGCCATGCGTTTAGAAGCTTGGAACCAGGAACGCAAGCGCTCCTCACTGAAAGGACGTTGCTGAGGAAACGGACATCAGCAATTAATCCAGGGACCAGGAGCCCGCCTCACCATAGGCCCACCTGGAGTTCAAATTGGACGAAGGATCGGGTATGATGCTATGACCGAGGGGAATGAGGAAAGCAACATGTGCAGTGGCAGCTCAAGCTCCCGTAATATTGGAATGAGCTTTCTCTAGCCTGGCCAAAATATGTATTTGCAAAGGGTTTTCATCAAGTTTGAACATGCCGTCTTGAGAATGACAAATAAGAATAGTAGGGCCGGGTATAGTGGATAATCACGGGGCCAATGTGAAACTGAATTCTGGTCGAAATAAAGACTGGATAGAGGTACTTACTTGGGCAAGAGATGCAGCACAAAGAGTCCGATGGAAAATATCAGACCGGGCTGTTGGCCCGACCTTACTTCGGATATGAACTGTCGCTCCTAGAAGATTATCGATACCTCAGGATACTGTTCTGCATCGCCAGTCATATTTGTGCACTAAATATTCCGGGGAGACGTCGTTACACAGGGCCTTAGAAATTGGAAGCTGCGGCACAGATCTGGTTTCATGCATCAAGTTGTATATATTCTACAGATTGTTTTGCACATAGTCAAATTGCTAGAAGAACGGCATCTAGGTCGAACAAATTTCGGTGCACTTACAATCCTAGTTCGGCATTCGAAACAAAATGATAGCCTCCGGCACAACGGTACCCGTCGTCTTGCTTAATCCAGCGGTATCCGGCAACGCAGAGTCCCATCGTCCTCAACTTCGCCTGTGCCTTCTGATCCTCCTTTCTAGCTTTCTCTTCTGCTTCCTTTCGTGCCCGAAGTTCTGCTTCACGACGCTCCCGCTCCTCTCTAGCCCTCAGCTCCTTTAGCCGTTGCGCTTCGCGCTGACGCTTGAGCTCCTGCCGTTTGAGAAAATCTTGCTGGCGAGCAGCGGCCAAGGCGAGTTGATTAACACGTTCTCGTTCCTCCGCTTCCTTTCTGACTGCCTCCGCCATCTCTTCTTCCGCCTTACGAATAGCCTCCTCTAATCGTTTCGCTGCCCCGATTTCGGCCGCCTTGTCCATTTGAAGCTGGTTCCATGTCGCGTCCGATACGCCTGGATCGCGAGCATCCATCACTTCCGGATCAGCCTTTTTGATGGGAGCAGGCTTAGGTTTTGCCGGTTTTGCCTTGGTCACAGAAGAGGTCTTGATATTCGGTGCAGAAGTCGTGTTGGGATCACGATATTGCATGGGCGGGACATTCCCAAGAGAAAATCGTGCGGAGGGACTTGGAAGATTGGAGCTTCTGTCTTGACGACTTATAAGCATCTCATGCAAGCATGTCGCAGCATCGGCAGGATCTAAGATCAACTCCGTATTTTCATCGTCCGAGGAATACTGAAGCGCAATACTGATCATCTTCTGCGAGATTGTGATGACATCGCGAGCGTTCCCCCACGATGGAAGCTGAGACAACGCTTCGAATATGTTGGCTAGCTGCGCAGAAATACCGCTTGCTGAATCATCTAAACCTGGCAATGCGACGTTCTTCTTCTTCAGCTGCTTGCTCAGGATTGCCAGACACTCCTCCGGCCACAGATTCTGGAATACGATTTCTTCGGGGAATCGACTGGATAACCCTCGGTTGACCGATAAGAGCTCGTTGATATCCTCATCATAGCCTGCGAGGATCACAACAATCTTTCCTCTGATTCGCTCCTGCGTGAGGAGGTCAACGATTTCATCGATAGCCTCTTTCGCAAATACGCCATCCTTCAAGCGGTATGCCTCATCGATGAACAGAACTTGTCCAAGGGCTTTTTCGAACATTTTTCGCACCAGAGGCCCTGTCTGCCCGACGTATTGGGCTATGATATCCGAGGCGGAGCACTCTATAACTTCTGGACGGCCCAAGAAGCCCATGTCAAAATACACCTGTCCCATCTTTCGCGCAGTTGTGGTTTTTCCAGTGCCTCGTGTACGAAATAAGCATCCAAACTTGACGACTATCATCAATACACAGCACACCTGGTGGCCCCTTGAACACAAAACTAGTCGGGATCAGATCACGGACATCTTGACCTCTGCGACGACCCGCTGATGCAGTCTTCTGGTATCTGCGAAGTTTGGCGACAATGTCATCACAACCAACGACGTCCTTGAAGAGCTCCTCGATATTGACATCTGCATGACTTCCTCGATCAAAGGCGGGATCGAAGTCTGCCGGCTGGAATATCATGTCAACAGAACACTGCGTGCCTACACGAGTCATGTAATTTGCTTTAGCTTTGCTCAGCATGTTTTCAACCTCTCCAGCGTTGCCAAAGTTGGGTCGAATTTCTATTTTGGGGATTTATTAGCCATCATGGTGGAGAAATAGTTACAGATTGGACTGCTTACTTGCCCGGCCGAGGACTTCTAAAGCAACTTTTTTGGCTTCTTCAGTCGCTTGAAGGTCCTGAGATTTCAGCTTGAGGTCCAAGATTTCCCGCAGCTCATCAGTAGAGAAATCATCAAAGTTGAAGGCATCCTCGATGGCAAAGCGACGGCTGAGGCCTTGAAAAAGGAGATTCAGGTTCAAATCCGATTGAAGAAAGTGCTATATGTACCAGGATTGACATTCTGAAATATTGCGCTCTGAGTAAACAAAATGGATGAACGTATAAGGACCTACCTGGAACATCTCCTCGATTTGTTGCTTATAGCCTAGTAAAAGAACACATCTGTCCTCTCCAGGAGTGCTTTGAACTTCAGCAACGATGGTGTCAATGACCGCAGTCTTGTAAGGATCGTTCTGTTGTCCAGTGTTGCCCCCACCATAAAGCCCGTAAGCCTATTTATAAAGTACTTCATTGGGAATGGAATATAGAAGCAAAACTTGGAACCCATACTTCGTCGATTATCAAAACTTTACCGACCGTCGTCGCAAGTATTGCCTTGGTATTCTTCTCGGATTCACCTAATGCGCTCCCGACAAAATCGGCAGGATTTTTGACGACCACTGAAGAAAAAATGTAAAGGGTTGAAACAAAGCAAGAGTATGTGTATGCGTTACCTTCTCCATTGCTAAGGATGCCCAGGTCAGCGAGAATTTTGCCATATAGCTTCGCCACAGTTGTCTTTCCTGTTCCCGGAGAACCGAGAAAAACACGGTTGAGCGGCGATTGCACGGGTTCCTTTTCCTGTAGCTCGCGTTGATAGTTTTGTCGAATCGTGTCGTACAGACCTTGAATAGATGCTTTGACCGATGCAAGTCCAATGAGCTCTTTGAGCTTCGTCCAGCTCTCACTATGGACAATGGCTTCGGATGGGTCGGGCCCGATCAAATCCTCTTTCAACAACAGAAGATCATCCGGCCGGTGACCAGCTCTCCTTTCCCTACCCAGTCGTTCAGCTTGACGCTCTGTGATCTTTGAAAGGGCGTTTTCGAGTGCCCGAGCATTTCCAAATCCTTCCTTGCCTCTGCCTCTGCCCAGCCTCTTGATGGCAATACGCCCGTAGAGGCCACGTATTCCCTCCTCGACTTTGAGGCGCCCCGCATACTTCTTATGCAAGATCTTCTCCAACATCGACAACAGTTCTTCATCTTTATAATCCTCGAACTGTAAACGATACGGGACGCGACTCGGCAGACCGGGGTTATGTTCGAAAAATTTCTCCATCTGCTTGTTGTACCCTGCCAGAATGAACACAATGCGGCCGACATTATTCTCCATCTCTGCTAAAAGGAAATCTAGCACCTGAGACCCTTGAAAGTTGTGTTCGCTGGTGAGTTGATATGATTCATCGACAAAGATAGCACCACCGCCAGCATTGATAACACCTTCAACGAGTTTCTTTGCACCCTGGACGCCGTCATTGGCTAAACGCGATCCCGTGGTCTCCTCGAACGCGAGTCCAGGCAAGACCTGAAGTGAAGCCAGGAATTTCGCGTAATGTCGTGCTACCGTTGTTTTACCTGCACGTTGTCAACATTTCCTCAAAGGAAACAAAGAAGTCCAGAGAAGCTCACCGGTACCAGGGTTCCCAAGAAAAACGACGTTGAATCTCTCCTTAGACAAGTCAGTGTTCTGACGCTTGAAAACATCTATTTTGGCTTTAATACGAAGAATTTGCTTCTTCACAGCTTCCAGGCCAATCATATCCATGATAGCATCAATAGCTTGATTGCTGGCGCCTTCGATATCTTTCTGGTATTGCCAGTCCGCTTCAGCGTCGGATTGACTGGCAACCGAAGGATTTGACGTTGCAATTCCCTGCCGGTGTTTAGAACTAGCAGCCGCGGAATTAGCAGCTTTCTTGGAGCCTCGACTTCGACAGGATGAGTCACTTGTACCCTGGGCAGGGGTGGATGGTCTCGGTGCTGAAGAGGTCGAATCACCCGTCACAGACACAACGCTAGATCCCGGAGCACTGCTTGAAGGTGTGTTGCTCGGTGGTCTCGATGTTACATTATGCGCGAGTGCAGCTGCATCCTTCAAGTCCTGCATCTTCTGTCGAATCTCGTTTTTCCTCGCCTCTTTAACCTGTGTATCGCGCAGCACTTGTTGCTGCTCAGCGAGCTGATCCTCGATCTCCTTGATGCGACGAAGGTGCTCTGCTTCCTCCTCATCCCGTTTCTTTTGCCGGTCGAAGTCTTTCTGCCGTTTGGCCTCGGCTACTTTGGCATCTCTCTCACATTTTTTGCAGACGAGAGCAGGACTCTCGCTACACTTGTAGGATTGGTCATGGCCTTTGAGTAGACAGCAAAGAGGTATGATCTCGTGGCAGGCCATCTTGGAATGATCATAGAGCTGATGGCATTTCGATGGACATACATGTAGTCCGCAACTTAACTTGGTGCCACTACAGTAAAAATGAGAAAATCTTAAGGCATCAATAGACGGAAACGTACCATGGTTCTGAGCAACCACCGTCAGGGCAGAGGGTATCAAACTGAAGTTCGGTGCTTAAAAGCGCCGTTCGATCAGGATGTTGTTCACATCTAACTGGTAGACCGTCGTATATGTGCCCCTGCCCTTTCAGTAGATCAAAGAGCTTCCGCCACAGTTCCTTCCCCTTCTTGGCATTGGTGAAGGTATCGGAGTTGCCTATCATGATGAGAGCATTCCTGGCACGAGAGAGCAAAACATTGAGCCGCTCCGGCGCGCACATGAAACCGATATCGTTGTCGGGATTGCTACGAGTAAGAGATACGACGACAATGTCGCTCTCCTCACCCTGGTAGTTGTCTATGAATGATCAGATGACTGTAACTTGATCAATCGTAACTTGACGTACCAATAGTGGCCAGACGAAGGGATTTTTTCGTTGATTTGGCTGCACCGGCAGTGAGAAGGCCAGCACGGATGAGGTCGTAGGAATCGAGATCATTGAGCACGGGATCTGTATCTTCTCGGAGCTCGTTCCGAAGCTTGGAAAGTTGTCCTAAATACGGCGTTAACACTACCACTTTGTCGGTCCCGTATCCTTGCTGTGCTAGATACTTGACGATCTTCAGAACCATTCTTGCCTCGTACGTATTCTGCTTTGATGATTTGGAGCCCAAGTCGCGACGGTCAGCGATCTGCAGGTTGTCATCTTCAGGATGACCATGATTGATGAAAACGACATCATCCTGGATCCCGCGAAGGTGAGGTCGATTTTGGGTCTTGGGTGCGTCGAGAAGATCGGGATACGTCAAATGGCGAATGAGGGCAGATATTTCAGGGCGCATGCGGTGCTGAGCGACGAGGGTGTGATGGGGGTACCCTTTAAGAACAAGTCGTTCGAACAAAGACCTATTGAGGTCATATCCCTTCCCTTTTTCGACCGTCAGCTGGTAGTTGTTCACCTTCGGACGGAGCTGCCTAAGTAAAATCTATGTCAAGACTGCTTTCAGACCACATATAATTATACGTACTTGTGATCGCCAATTAGTATAAGCTGCTTTGCCGCAGTCCCGAGGGCTGCAACGACGTGACTTTCTAATATTTCACCCGCCTCCTCCACTAAGACAACATCTGGGGAAGCTGATTGGAGCTCAACGCCGTATTTCGCTGCAGCCGTTGTTGTACAACCAATTATTCGCTTGTTCTGGAGTACAAAGGTGTCCCGTTCATGGAATTTGCGATCCAGTTCTTCGAGGAGGCAGTTATAAGTGTGAGCGAGTCGATACAAGTCCTCGATTTCATCCCTCCTAATGGCTTCTTCCCAATTGACCAGATGACTTCGACGTGCCTCTAGTGACATGTCCCAGATCTCTCTAGCGGCCCTGACGTTCCCCGATTTCAGGAAAACACCGGCATTTTGGCCAGTCCTCCAGCGTTGCAACAAGTAGAACTCATCCACCGCCCTTCCTTTACCACCTACGGTGCGCATACCATCTTCGGAAAGAGGAACATAAAAAGCGTTGTAGAAGTCTTGTTCCTCAAATTCCAAATAGGCCAATAGAGTATCATTTCGAACGTCAGACTGGAGATACCTCTTGAAAGACTCCGGCAAACTCTTCGCTCGAACCGCAAGATCAGCCTTAAGTTCGTTTATGATGGTATGGTCACCGTGACCAAAACGAAAGGTGCGTGGCTGTTTGCGGAGAACCATAGGCTCTGTCCGGAGAGTGAACTTGCCACCTATGCGAACCATATGTTCGATGGGAATACCGATATCAAGAAGGTCTTCTAGGAATTGATCTAGGGCGTGATTGGTATAGCAGACCACAAGGATCTTCTGGTCCGAAAAGTCGTGGATGAATTTGGCCAAGAGAGCGCCTATAAACGACTTGCCCGTACCTGAAATTTAATGTCAATGGGTCTACGCCGCCGTTTGAAAAGTACTATACATACCTGGAGGTCCCTGAATGATAGATACGTTCTGTTTCAAGCCTGACAGCAGCGACATAGCCTGGGCTTTATCCAGGACGATGCTTTTGCCCAGCGACAACACGGTTTGAAGGTCTTGACCGGGGTTATTACCGAATGACCATATGGCCGATTGGAGGGCAAGGGGTTGTGATGGTCGAGACAGCTCGCTCCCATCTTTCCAAAATAACAGTTCCTGCGCGAGAGGAAGCACTTTCATCCGCTTCAAGGAAGTCAAGATCGGCTCATAAGAGAACACAGCAGCCTCTATCTGTATGAGCTTAACGTGCTGAGCTGACTTCATCTTCAACAAGAAATTCCGGACCGATGTCTCTCCTTCAAACTCTAGGACAATCTCCGGAGGATTCTTCGCTAACAGGTCTTCGTCCCGACGCACTGATGGAAATGCTAAGACTTCCCCGTCAACAAGAAGAGTGGTCAAAGATTGGTGCTTCAACAGCTTGGTGTTATCCTTTAGAAGGGACGCCTTTCGCTTCGCTTGGCCTTTGATCTTTTGAAGCTGTGGAAAATCGGCCGAACATCTAAAAACGATCGCCCACTTGTTCCGCCGACAGTCATCGCCCAAGCTGATACCTATTATTTTCATGTCGTCCACGACCGTACCGCGATGCTTCCTTCCTTTTTGCTTCCCCAGTGCGAGCTGAAGCTCTTCCCGCATCTCGTGAATCATGTCTTCCCTCATCAGCCTGAACTGGTTGTCGAGATACAAAGCTTCACGATGTTCCTCGGTACTAGGATCGTCGAGAGCCGTGCTGGGACGAAGGAAGGAAGCCTCCGTAGAAGCGAGTTCGCCAGCGGTGGGGAGGATCGCGATCTCACGAAAGTCAGGGAAGTCGTTATCGTGTCTGCCGCCGGGACGAATGTCATCCTTGGCAATAGCGACAAGGGGATCGGATACAACGGAAATGGTATTTTTGACTTTTTGGGCAATGTTGCGTATGTCTAGATGGGGAGAGGCAATGAAAAGAGGTAGTAGCTCTTCGGCGAGGGGTACGTAGGGCGAGACGACGTCGCTCGGGATGAGAATAAGCTGTAATAAGAGCCATGCGAAGCACTTCTGTCCCTTCTCCAGTAGCTGCTTTGTTTTAAATGCGTCCACAAATGCATCCCAGAAGATCGGAGGGTCAACAATGGCCTGCAACATCTTCGTGAGGAACTGGCCACTGCTGATTGTTTTTATCTCGGGCGCTTGCAAGTAGAGCAGAGCATCTGCCACACGACCGTTCAAAAAGGGTAGGGAAAGATCGGATCTAAAAGCAGCTCGTAGAGACGCGAGTCCATCCTTGCTCGCAATGATCTTATCGATACAAGTAGGTGGGTCTGGCTGAAGGCATATAGCCTCGAGGAACTGAGAGTATTGTGATGAAGTGGTTAATGTCTGCGTGCCTCGCAGGACACGGTTGAGAAGTTTGCTGAGCCTTTCTATGCGGACACCATCGTTCGACATGATGGTAGTAGGCGAAGACGAGGTGAGAGCAAGCGTGGTATCAACAACAGCCTTTGTTCAATTAGCGCCGTAACCAAACCTTACCAAGCAGCTTCGAATAGGCGCCTCGGAACACTATAGCCCCACTATACTTAAACGGGTAAGAAAACAATATCCCAGGTGAAGAAAGGATTTTATTTAAACATACGCTTGCGTCTGTGGTCATCCTCGATATCCGTTCTCATAAGTATCCGGTGGGTTCTATCATGAGCGCTATGATGTATTTATATCGAAAGTGGATGACCCGGACGTGTACGGCCTTGCGGTAAGGGAAAGGTTCCATTCATGGAAGGCGCTTGTTAACTTCGCCGAGGCAATGATGCATCGCAAAATGATTCGCATAAAACGGTGACGATAACAGGCTGAACCAACATTATTGAGGGAGCAATCGTTTCTAAGTTTGGAGCATTTGTCATGGACTGCAATCTAATTTGTGGATTTATAGTTGGACGGCCATCAGTAGACGGCGATAGGTGAAGGTATTGCCAAGTTCCTGTCTCCGTGAAGTAACGGATTCTTGCCATTCAATTAAGAACCTCATATCAAAGCGTAGGAGCCTGAGAAGTATCTAAGGAATCGGTATTACTGATCGCTGCAGACTCTTACCGCATCTTCATGTTCGACGATACCGAGATACGTAGCATGTGCGGAGCAGTTTGGCTCTGCGAGGTGAATAGGCATCCAAAAGCAGGCAGCACATCTGAAACCGAGTATTCGTATCTATTGATGGAAGAATATAAGTAGAGTTCTCAGTCAGGCACAGCGTAGGCGAAACGGCTGAGGTGTACGGGTATCTACGGCCAGGCTATATAGGCGGTCGAGTAACGACAAGAGTTGTGTACGTATATGGTAAGAAGGAACGAGTGACGATCGAAAAGAATAGGAACGAGTGGTAATCGAAAAGAGAGGGTAATGGTATACGCACGGATATCCTCCAACAGTATCTAGTGAAGATCTGCTAGGATTGAGGAAGGAAAGCAGAGCAGCCTGCGTAGCGCACACACCTTTCTTTTCGATCCCTAGATGGCAACTGTCCTGCACCACGTCGATATATGCCTTACTCGATACTAGAATTGCGTGATAATCAAAAACACAAAACGATAGGAAAGAGACTACGGACTTGTTGGATTAGCAAGCAGGAGCTCCGTCGTATCCCGCCGGCCAAGCTCGATACCCCTTTATGTCGGGATGGACTATATATATTGAATACGGTC